CAAGACTTTTTAGCCAATTCAAAAAAAGTAGTTCAATTCATTTCAGGAATTTTGCACCCATACCCCCATCCAAAACATTCCACTAAGTCAGCAATGACACCGTAGAAGAAAAAAAAAAAAAAAGTTTCAACGTAAGTAGTGACTACTAGGTAAGGATTATTCTCTTAAAATCTAATCCGTCTTGGATTTTAAGAAAATAATCTTTATCATTAAACTGATGACGCACAAAAAAAATTGCCATTAAAACAAGAAAATGACATTTCAGTCTTGATAGTCAAAATTTGGCTGCAGAACAAAAATATTTTAAGAGAGAATTGCACTGGAAATCATGGATCAAATGATTTAGATGTTACTTTTGGAGCTTTTGTTGTTTTTATAATATCCAATTCAATAACAGACTTTTCTAATTTTCTCATGTCCCCATACATATTTAATGTTTTACTGTTTTCACACTATTATTAAAAGAGGTTTTAATCACAAAGGAGCAAAAATATTTTAATGTGATCAAAGTGATATTATAATACATTAATTAATTCATTTAGTAATCATTTTGTTCTATTATTTATTTCTAATTGTATATTCCAATTTTTATTCCCCTTTACGTAAAATTCTATGAAAGTTTTGAACCCTAGAAATCATGGTTGATAATGGATTGCAAATATCAGTTATAGAAACACCAGTTGACAATTTGCTGAAGAGTTTTCCACTGGAAATGGTATCAAACTAGCAGGGCATATCATGGATTGAAATGCAGATCTGTTGGATGTATTCTAGGTCTTGTTTCTAGTTATTTTATAAAGAGCTTGGTAGTTTATACAGGTTTATTTGATCAATCGAGGGCATCATGAATGTAGATACGCTCCTTCTCTCAAGAGGCTGGCAGAACGAGAAAAAAAAAAAAAGGATGACAATGGTTGTTTTAATGCTCATGTATAATATGGTAATTGATTCCTTTGTAACATGCGACTCAACATTAAAAGATTAGTGACCTGCATATATCGTTCTAATAGACATTTTATTCTTCTACCCAAACATTTTTTCTTTTGAAGATTTTCAAGGTTCTAAATTTTTTTTTGGGGGGGGGTCACATCTTTTTCCCTCACATCTAAGCAAGACTTTTTTTTCTAATGAAGAGGAAGATACCATAAGCTGGACAAAACTAAACACATATATAAGCAAGATAACATTTTTAACAAAACTGACAGAAATAAGTTCTACTTTTTATGCATATCCAGATATGTCAAAACACCTTTATACATGAAAATGGAGACATTTTTCCCTAATCAATTAAATCACAGGTGTTCAATAATAAAATCATAGAAGAACCAGATTATAGGTAAAGAAAGGTTTCAAAATTGTCATTAGTGCCAGTGGTTCAATCCTCGCCACCCCAAAAAAAAAAAAAAAAAAAAAAAACCTAGAATTTAAAAGTATCTTTTCAAAAAACTTGGGAGATTTGTATTACAATTTTCCAGTTTTACATTCTCACCCAACTAAGCGTTTGTAAGTACCAATAATAAAATCATTAAGTCACCATAATAAAAACAACATGATGGATTTCAATTATTTTTATCAAAAAGAAAATTTGATTTAAAATATGTTTTTTTTGCTACACAGTAATAACCAGGTTTCAAAAATGGAAGCTAAAAGTTTCAAATTTAATTTTGTAATTAAATTAAAAACATTAGTTCCATTTCATCCTCAAGCAAATTTTGGAGTAACTTTTTTTTAAAATTTACTGAGTTTTAAAGCTACAGAAAAATCATAATTCACCGTTTCCAAGGATACAGAGAGATCCAATCATTCAGACAAGGGAATTATGTGTGTGTGTGAAAATGAGAGAGAGGTCAAAAGACTGGAACAGTAGAGCATGGTAGGATAACAGTCATCATTTTAAAATCTTTTGAAATCTTAAAGATTTTTTTTTTTTTTTTTATGTGACCTCCAGGTCACTGATTTCAGGTTTTTCTCCATCCCTTTCTCCCAATGTAACATTATCATAGGATGAATAATACTTTAAGCTGTGATCCATTCAAAGCCAATACATTCTTTAGTCAAATTACCCATGAGCTGCAATTATCAGAATACCATGAGACATGCCACACTTTTGTATTCTTATTATCATTCCAATATACAATTTAAATATAGACTAACAGTTAAAAGGAATTTATTTTAAACCATTACATCAAAGTTTTCAGGATCATTACCTTCCATTTAGTAAACTGATTATAAATAAATGATTGTTAAATTCCACCTTCGATAAGACTTCTTTTTAAAAACATTGATATTATGAAATGCATCTATTTCTCTCTTGATAATAGTCATCTGTCTGAAATGAATTTACTAAATATGCAGGCATAGTGGAGTAATAGATAGCGGCTTGGATTGAAGAATCGGAGAGACGAGTTCAATTTCCAGTCAAATCCATTACCTTCACTTATGTGCTAATGCCCTTGTGAAAGGTATGAATCCTCTTCTCATCCCTCCAGCTATGGATAAATAGCAGGATAGACCAGGTTCTATAGCCTTGGATGGCAACTGGTCTACCACAGAAAGAAATGGCAAACTACTGCAGGAAAAAATTTGCCTCGTCAGTCATGTATCAAAAGATACATGATCACCTAAGCGTGTATCACACATTGCACATAACTGACTAGTGACTCTCATTGATGAATCTAATACATTGAGAAAGCTTTGAACAAGGCTAGACCTTAACCATTGCAATAACATCAGAGCAGATAATATTTTTATCATACAAGCTGTCGATTATAAATCCTATCCCTATTTAGTAGTTAATAAATCTATCTTTGTGACATTTCCTGTCAAAGATGAATGAATAATATACAACACATAACAGAAACCACATTACTTGAGGACTTTCAGCAGCAGCAACAACTAAAATTGATAGCACATGTAACTTGAAGAGAAAATATTGACATAATCAAGACGTTGACAAATAAAAGGTTGGGAAGGAAACCTCCCCATCAATATTGGAAAGAGTGATAACAGATACAGGACTCGAAAAATCTATTTTCCTGAAAAATTATTTTAAGAGAAAAATTTTATAAATTTCAATGGGCAGTAGTACAAGCTGATCGATCAATGAATGCCAAATATTTCCTTATATGGAAATTGCTAATATTACCATTATGACATTTTGAGACATTCAATTTGACACTGGCTGCTCGGTCAATGAATGCCAAATATTTCCTTATAAGGAAATAGTTAATATTGTGAATACATAGTCAATGATGAAAAGTAAAAAAAAAAAAAAAATTGATAATTTTTATTTCTCCTTAGTTTATAATCTTTTAAAAAAAATAAAAAGATCTGCTTGGATTAATTGATTAATTGAGGTGAAGGGATTAATACAAACAAAGAATAAGTAGAGAAATTTATGAAAATCAAAAAAAATTTTCTCCTCTGCAAATAAAATACAAAAAAATCTATATAAAGCACAGTGTATGTTTGTATGTCAGTTTTTTGATGTTGGTGAATCAAACAACCTAATGTAACAGCTAGTAACTACTGTAGTTACACGCAATTAAAAATTAAACAAATTTAAAGTCAAATTAGTATTAAAAGGTTTAATTTTACTTTTCGTCACAATTGTAATCAATAGTCTAATTAAACTGTAATTAAAACTTAAGCGGGGCACAGTACATTGCTCATATGGATTTTTTTTTTCTAGCACGTGTTCTGTGACATATTTGATATATTACATAATTCAGTTCCCTAATGTCTTAAGGGTGACTTTATGCAAAGAGATCATAAAAAAAAAAAAAAAAAAATTTAAAAAAAAAAAAAAAAAAAATTGCACACAAAATAAATGTAAACAAACTACAGAGATCAGTTGTGTATACAAAGAAAGATTATGCCGAATTAAGGTGTTGAATAAAAGATAAAATAATTTTATTATTTCTAAATTCTTATAATTTTTACATGCATAAGCCACTGAAGGTCCAAAAGCCCTACAACTGGAGCTAGCTTCAATAAAGTCCACCTGAACATTGTAGATAATTAAATCTGTAGAAACTTCAAATTTATTCAGATTTAAACAATTTTCTTAAAATTTTTAATGTTTCCCCTTCATAGAAAGATTTGGAAAAGGAACCCAAAATTAATTTTTTTTATGCTGCTTCATTACTCCCCAAAATAAAAGAGAAATGTCTTCACTCAGAGTTCAAAAAGTAAAATACAAAAAGATATGAGTGGAGGAAGAGTCTTTTAAAAGAATATACAATTCAATCCTAAAAAAGGAAACTTAGCCAGTTTAATAGATGCTACAATAGAGATAACACGTTCTAGCAAGTCATCAGTTTAGTGCTATGGACAAGATAACTATCTCAGCGTTTTTCTGACACAAGATGGCAGTAAATCTTTCTGAAAACAAAGGAAACTTTTACACTTTGGTGATATGGCAGTGAATATTTGCACAAGTTGAAGCTTTATGAAAAAAAAAAAAAAAAAAAAAAATGTTTCAATTTCAAGCTATTTCATGTCCATTGAAATTGTGTTAGTTTACATTTACTAGATATTCTGTTGCATATATTAGTTGATGTGTATGAAAATAAAATGCTCTCAAAACATGCAAAGAAGACTTTCTATTTTTGTTCTGTTCTCACCCCTGAGAGGAACAAAAGACATGATACAGGAGTTAAAGATATCCTACTGGTTAAGCAGTTTTAAGCATTTTAAAATAAAAGTTAGCAACTCAAACTTTTTTCAAAAATGCACATGTTAAAGTTAAGATACTTCACATGATGATATTATAATCCAGATAATGTTGAAATAATTCAGATTCATTACAATGCCATCAGATGGTATTATAGTGATTTTCCAAGCGTAGCTCAGATGTGGCACAAGGCCAAAAGTATGGGGCACCCAGCAAGGATCGAACTCACTACTCAGTTGTAATTATTCTAGCAAGACAAGCTTGGTAACCATTACACCACCTTGAGGTGCCCAAATTGGGAGTTTGCTCCGGTAGTAGGGGTCTGCTTACAGTACCAGGTGTTTCCAAGCAGTCCCCCATCTAAGTACTGACCTGGCTCTATGATGCTTAACGCCAGTGATCGAACAAGAACTGGTGTTCTCATCGTGATTTGACCATAAACAATCAGATGGTATTATAATCCAGATAATAATGTTAATAGATGAAGCTGACTGCAAAAGCAGTGAATGCTGAACAATCTATTGACAGATGGAGCGACTCTAAACAATAGACATGTGATTCTACCAACAAATGCTGAGAATATGGAGAGAACATGTGAGTGATGAGAAAGTTTTAAGGAACATAGGAAGTACAAGGATGTTTGTACATACAGGGACAGATATATTTTTGTGAAACATAATGAAGCAAGAAGAACTGGAAAATCTAACACTCACAAGAAATAGTGAATGCAAGAGAACCAAGAAAAACAGTTAATAACCTACTTAACAAGTCTGTGTGAATAGATGGTAGTATAAGGATAAATAGGGATAATAAAGAGTCAGATGTTATTTAGGGCAACAAAACACAAAATTGTGGAGAGCAATGATCACACACACACTATCTATATATATATATATATATATATATATATATATATATATATATGTGTGTGTGTGTGTGTGTGTGTGTGTGTGTGTGTACCCCACACAACTTAGAAAGTATGTGTATATGTATGTGTGTGCATGCTGATTCCTTGTAACTTGAGAAGTGTGTGTGTGTGTGTGTGTGTGTGTACAAATGTGTTTACTAATTCCTCGTAATAAGACAGTCTGTATGTATGGAGAGGGAACATACATATATACACACGCATGTTGACAAAGACACAAGAAAATGGAAATAGATCTAAGAGCACACAAGGGTCATTAAAAGATAAGAATGCCGATAACTCCTTCACCATTTCTTGGACAAATCTTGTTTTATAACCCTTTATGCAGAACTTTTCACTGCCAGTTCAAGAAAGACATTTGGGTCACTAACACGCTAAAAAGAGTGTCTCATATAAAGAATATTTAACATCGAAAAACATAAAAAATTAAATATTTATTGATAATATGTGGAAATCGCCATGCTTTGCCTGATGAAAGTCGTGAGACTGGAAATGTGTAGCAAAATTATGGAATATATATATATATATATATATGAGAGAGAGAGAAAGAAAGATTCTTGTAATAAGACATTTGTCTCAATATTATATCCTATTGCATGTTTGTCAACCTGCCAACATTATCAATCAAATTCCCAGAGCAAATTTGTGTATGTACCTAACTTGTGGTTTTATTTAAAAAAAAAAAAAAAAAAAAGATTTAATAACTAAAATTTCATTTTTATAAGACTTACATGAACTTACAAGTGCAAGAAAACTTCTTTGCAATTAAAAAGATATTTAAACATGATAAATAATAAATTTTTAATTTGTTTGTACAGTGTGTTGGGTATTTGAGAATATGCTTTTATCACATTATAGATAAAAAGAACAATGTTACACAGCAAGCATCAAATTTAAACCTTTCTTGCTTGCTTTTAGACATATCACGAACATTAGCAAAGCAGCTGTCAATCTGACACAGGAAATGAAAAGTTACACCAAGTTCACAAGTAACTCAAAGAGACAGCTTCTAGAAAATGGATATTCTTTGGAGGTCTTTTGCAGGAACAAAAAAAAAAAAAAAAATACATAAGTGGTCAGGTATGGTCAAGATGACCATTGATTGATTTTTTTTTTTTTTACAACTTACACACCTTTTGCAGGTTATTCAAAGCTATAAAATTTTATTTTTTTTTTTAGATTGTAAGACTTTTTGTGGGGAGATAATGATACAAGTCTTACTAATTAACCCATAGCTAGGACAAGAAGAGGTGGATTCATGCCTTCCTAAAGATATTTGCGAGTAAGTGAATATAATGAATCTGAATGTAATTGGAACTCAGCTAATTAACAATTCTGAGTTGTTATCCATTACACCACCTGCACATCCAAGTTTACAGCACCTGGTATTCCCAAGCAGTCATCCATCTAGGTACTGACCAGACTTAATGTTGCTTAATTTCATTGATGGTATGAGAACTGTTGTTTCAAAGTGATATGGCTGTAAGTCTGAAGATAACCATGTTAATCCAATATCCATGACCTCAGTAAATTGAAGAGAATCAATTCTAACCATTTGCTTGAGTAATGTCCATTGCAGACAATGGCCATAGGACAACTAATCGACAGTCGAGACAATAGTGTCTGGGTGTGATAAAAATCTGATGCAATCGTGGATGATGCAATATTTTTCAAGTCCAAACAAATTTCATCATACACCCAAAAATAGATTCATATTACTACACGCCATAACAAATGACCTAATCTGAGGAAAAAATAGTAATCGATTACACCCTGTAACTCTATGGTGAAAGAAAGGAAACTAAAACAGTTGTTTCAATTAATTTGCACAAGTGTGTGTGTGTATAAAAACAAAAACTTTATACCACAGAATTTATATATTGTTTTAAAAATGATGGCACACATTTTTTTTTTTTTTTCAGTTTTGCCATTTGTGATTATTTCTTCTTTTTTTATTATTATTTATTTTGGGATTTTTTCCCCAAAAAATTAACCTTCCTGAAAGGGTTGGTTAAAAAAAAAAAAAAAAAAAAGTCCCTTTTGAAAGAAAAAGAATGTTCTCAGTCATTTTAAAGATTATATATTATAATAATAATAATAATAATAATAATAGTGTGAGAGAGAGAAAGTAAAAGAAAATGCAGTAGAAAATATTTTCATATTCCTTATTGCTTTTTCTATACACAAAACTAAAAGGACAAGGGAGCAAATGAGAAGATACAGGCAAAGCATGTGAATAGAGGCAGCAGGATATAATAGATAATCAATTAAAAATATATATTGAGAGTTTCATCTAGCTAGTTTAAAAGAAACATGCTAAACAATTTGTTTAAAGCAATTCAACAAATATTTAAGAGAATGAAATTAAAAAAAAAAATGAATAAAAATGATTTTTTGGTTTGAAAGCAGAATCACTAAAGAATCAGCAACAAAGCTAATAATTCTCTTGTGGCAAGAGAAATATATAAGAAAAAGAAAGAAAAAAAAAAAGATTCCAAAAGGAGTCATGAGTAGAACCCAAGAGCCAATAGAAAACAAGAATTAGGTAGAGGTTGCATCAACCAAAACCAAGAATTCCAGAACCAAGAACATGGTACAATAAGAAAATGAATGCCTAAGATTACAGAACAACCTGTCAAGGTTAAATCTCATTCTTACAAAGAATTGGACAAAAAATATGAAAATAAAGAAGTAAATAATAAAAATCTTAAAATGAATACTTTTGCCATTATTCAGTCTTAGAAACCAGAATTGTGTTTCTCTTTTGTCATTTTTCAAAGATTATAAAAATAATGAAATGAAAATTATATGGAAGGATATTAGAAGACACAAACTGGCAAAAATTACAAAAATAGGAATTTTTTTCAAGTGTCACGTTTACAGGATTATACAACTTTTTCTACATATATATGACTTTCACATCATTTTCGAATTTTTTTTCAGCATTTCACCGCAAGCAAGACACAAGTACCATTAGTATGCAGGGGGGGAGGGGGTTTACAGAGAGTGAAAGTGACAGAAAAGACAGGGTATGGAGGGGATTGAGGAAAGGATAAAAGACAAACAAGATTCAAGATGGTGATTGATGTTGCATTTAAATTTTTGAAGATTTTAGTTATCAGGAAAGCAAGTAAATGGAAGGGAATTCCACAGGTGAGAAGTGCAAGAAAAGCAACTGCTGGAGTAGAAGTGGCCATTGCATTTAACTATTTCAACAGTAAAAGGGTGGGACCTACATACCAATCTAGTAGCACACTTCAATTCACATAATTGAGGAACCAGGGAAGTAAGCTCATCAGAGCAGTTGCCATGAAAATATTTGTCAAAAGAAAGAGGGAAACCACATCATGTCTGTGAGAAAGTGACTGAAGTCAAGATGCCAAGTCAGTATTGATTACATTGCAGATCTTTGATTTTTTTTTCAAAAACCTTCAGACGAACAGCAGAGGCACCAGATGATATATGGCAACAGTATTTAATGCATGGACGAATAGCAGATTTGTAATTGTACAACCTTCTGGCACAACACAATGAACCAAGTTTCTTTGCAGTAGATGCAGCTGTTGATTCAATGTACTTGTTCCACTTCAAGTCAGTTAAAAACATGAGGCCAAGAAGGTGCAGTGAAACACTGTCCAGGAGTCAAACATCAACCATGCTGATGGTGGGCAAAGAAGTTTCTTTATGTTGGTTAAGTGAGAGCAGTTTAGTTTTGGAGGCATTAAAATTTACAAGCCATTTCATGCTCCATTTAACCACTGATTGGTGATTCATTTCAAGAACAGTGGCTAGGTTAACTGTCAGCTCTGGCAGATTTTCTATTGAGACAGGAGCAAATGATAGTGTCATCTGCATAAATGTCTACAGGTGTGGTACTTTCAGATGAGTTGAGTACTGATTTGGAATTTCTGAGCAAAGCATTCAACTGTATCTGATGTAAATGTTAGGACTTCGAATTGATTGAATAGAGAAGGCATCAAGGATTTGCTACTGTTCTGTACACTCTTGCAGAGCTGCCAATAATCTCTAAAATCAAACATGCTAAATGTTAGGCGCTATTTCATTCTATCAGCAAACAGTAACACTTGGACTTGTTACGAGCAGAGACAAAGCTCTCTGGTACAGCCGGAAGAAGTGATTCCTGTAGCCTTTAGTGGCCAAGCATGCAGTTGGGAACCAAGGAGATGAACACAATTCAACTTGGTATTTCCTTGCTGAATTGAAAACATCAATGCCAGCTTTCACTAAAGAGATTTAAGATGTGCATTTTTGAACTGGATAATTAAATACTTCATTCCAAGGAACATTACGAGGAAAATCACAGAATGAGTCCCAATCTGCTTGTTGATAACAGAATGATATTCTGTTGGTAGGAGGTTCTTAGCTGGTGGGAGAGCGGAAGGAGAGGTTTGCAGGCATTACCGCATGATCAGAGTTGCCAAGAGGGCAGAGCTGTGTAGTGTGACACAAGTCAGGTATAGAGGTAAAAAAGGGATTGAGAAGAGAAATGTTTC